CTCTCTCTCTCTCTCTCTCTCTCTCTCTCTCTCTCCCGCCGTGCGTAGACCGCACCGTAGGTAGCACCGAAGGTAGATCGCAAGACCGCACACACACACACACACATACACGCACACACACACATACACGCATGCACGCAGAGCTCGCAGAACGTCGCGGCAAGTCGACCGACACAGCAATTCCCCCGCCCCCCCGTACGTGGACCGCGCCTAGATGCTTCCACACTGCGCGCGGAAACATCATTGCAGACTCTGATAGTGCCTGTACAGGCCCTAGACTCAGACTGGTTGGACTGGTACCTGCCTTGACCTAGCGTACAATTACTGGGCCTCTAAAAATGCCAACTTTGTCTTCTTCTGCTCGGCCTCGAGTACCCGGCACATCTATCTCTACCTGGTGTGGTACCGGCCTATACCTGCCACTGGAGTGTTTTTCCACTGCTTCAAGTGTCACAGACTCCTTCCCCGCCACTTGAGTGTTTTCCCCGCTGCAACCCTCAATGCCACGGCTACAGGTAAGTACTGGCCACACTCACAGACTTAAAAAACTCAGCGACAAGCAGGAAACTCAGCAAGGTATACATTCCATTGGCAAAACCCAGAAATCAGCTGTGCGTCTCAGTCCGTGTTTGACAGGTCCTAACAGTTACGGCATTTCAGTAGGATCCAGTTTTGCCTTGGTAGCAAGTTGGTATGTTCTATGTTGTACTATGTGGTACCATCTAGAAACGAAAGAACTACAGATCAAGTGAAAGATGGCAGGCTTGGTGTGGAGTGTGGGGGGGGGGCCGTGGGGAGGGGAGGGGGCAGAACTAATTTGTGTGCGTCCATGTGTTTGATCAGCAGGATGATGTAAATAGAGTGAAGGGTCTGTCCGAACTGAGGGTGCGCCTCGGTTTGCCTCCCGTGGAATTGGCAACTGGCCGATTTTGGGATAGCCCTCTGGATGGAAGTGGAAATGCAGCGCTTGTCAACCTCGGATTGAAGTTAATGGAAGGTGAAGATAGAGCGAAGGAGGCAGAGACAAGGGAAACAACAGCATTACCAATGGTATGACCTAATTCGGCATCTCATACCCTTAGAAGACAGCTGTGATGTTGGAGAGGCGTGTAGATAGATATTATGGCTGGGATAGATTGATGTTTTGAACTTCTCGTTTTGATGCTTTGAACTTCTCGTGCCCAGAACTGAAAACAAAAGCTCGGAGAACTTCTTGAGTAGCTCTACTTCAAGATTAATATGATGAAATGGTGGTAGGGAGAAGCTAAGAAGCTAGCTCCATGTGTCATCCTTGCATGAACTTCACGTCACTCCAGCTAAACCAGGATAGATGGACGGATGGATTGCCATCAGAGAGAGACATCTGACGGATGTGAATGTGTATGCTTGTGCTGTCAGTAATGTTGAAACCTGAACACTGAAAGGTGAAACGTTATTGTTGTCTGTAAATGTTATACACTGGTTATTATATTCTCTACATGCACAAGATGTTGGAGCCCAAATACAATGTCCAGACATGATGCATTCCTGTAGACAATTACGATAAAAAAATCACACAGTGTGAGGCTCCAGGACTAGATAAAAAAATCACACAGTGTGAGGCTCCAGGACTAGGCAAGCCCCTAAAATGGCTGCCTCAGCAAAATGTTGCCCAGCTGTAAGTGAAGGCCACTGCAGGATAAATTAGGCCGGCCCTAAATGCAGGCCTCACTGGGATACACTGGCAGAGTTTGCGGCCCCAGTACGTGAAACTGACGGGTAGGTCCAGCCTCTGAGTTAGTTACATGCGCGGGTACCCAGAGACTCAGGCCGGTAGGTAGTAGACACTACGTACAGGGACCCAGAGGCAACACAGTTGGGGATCGGCAGCAGTCCGGCAGCACTGGCGGAGCGCATAGCGGCCGGATCGCACCCTGGCATGAGGAAGGCAGCCGTGGTTGCTGCTGAAGCCAGTGGATGCCATAGATGGGCAGCTCTGCGCGGAAACAGGTTGGCATAGTGTTGCGGAGATCGGGTGAGAGGAAGACAATGCGAACTGGCGGTACTTACCCGGTGCTGGCTGGGGAGTACATGCGTGGGCAGACTCTTCATCAGTATCTGGTGAGAGGCTTGTTGTGACGAGGCAGAGGCAAAGCAGTGAGGCTGAGAGAGAGAGGGAGAGTGAGAGCACACACACGACCACTCAACTCTACGCATACTCGACGCGACTCGACAGACGCAGACACGAAGTGGCAAAGTCACAAAGTCGCAGTCTTGAATTCCCGAACACAATGTCAAAGCAAAGTCACACTGATCACAAGCACTGAGCTCAAAACTGGTTGCCTGTACTGGGCTTGAGTCCTCACTTAAGTACTGGACTCAGGTACGGTCCTGAGGGCAAAAGTGAAAATGCCTCCGGGCCAGAACTAAAAATCGAAAGTCTTAGAGTGGGCGCCAGAATGTTGTATGGCGCCAAGTGTCCGAAATCCGAAAGTCCCAAAAGAAGGATTCTGAAACGGGCGCCAGAATGCTTTGCTAACTGACTGAAATCAGAAAAGCAAAAACAAAGAAAAAGAAAACAAGAAAATTGTAAAAAAAAAAAAAAAGAATAAACACAGCAAGTTGGTGGGTGGTAACCCGCAGACCAGGGATCGAGCCGTGGCGGAGTCCGTAACACTTGTGGACAGAGAGATGTGTGAGAGAAGACTAATGTGTGTAGGTAGAGTGGGAGAGCAGTGTAGGTGGACACAATAGTAGGGGTGCCACATTTTTGTTGTATTGATTGCTGGAGCGCGAAGAGTGCTTTCATTGTCAAGATACTTCAGTGTTCAGTGTTTCGTACTTCCGTTCCCTGTGCTCTCAGCTTTGTTATTCTGCCTTCAACTTCGCTTACTCGTGAATTGCAATGGACTCCACTAACTCCAGCTCAACACGAGACTCCCATCTTAAAGAAAGGGATTAATATGCTTTAATTAAGTTTAATGTATATGTATCACACTTTCCTTACTATACATACATGGTGAACAAGTTTTAAAGCAAAAGACAAATCATTAATTTTTTGTGCAAGGAATGAGCCCTCGCGGGGCCCTTGTCAAGCACGCACATGTTCTGGGCAGAGGCCCACAGCAAGCCAAGTGCCCGCCCTAAGTGAAGGCGGGCCTGAATATTCACTGAAGGGCAGTGAAGGCCAAAATTCGACATTTTGAATATGTGGGTACTCACTGCTCAGGCTGTTGCAGCCCGCCAGTTGGTGGAGTGGACGCATGAACCTCCCTGTCATACAGATTGGCCTAGGACTTGGCAGTTGCGCCTGGGCACATACACACAATGCAGGGCCGATACATCACGAAGTGGCCACATGCCTATGCAAAAGCAGCACTGTCGACGTACATACCCCAGTGCAGTCTCTGTCCCATTTCCAGATTCTCTTTCATCAACAACCTTTGCTGCTCTGAGGTGCACTCTCTATCCCATTTCCAGACTCTCTTTCCTCAATAACTTTCGCAATGGAGCAGCTATAACAGTGAAGTTCCGAACAAATTTTCTGTAATAGTTGGCCAGAGCAAGGAATGAATGTAGTCCCGTTCTAGTTTTAGGTCTTTTTTTTTTTTTTCCCTTGTAATCGTTGGCTTAGGCCAACGGCTTTCTCCCGGCTGGTGCGTATGCACCAGCCCTTGCCTACGGCCAGTTTCTTGTCAAAACGCAGAGGCTGCTCCACGTTCTAGTTTTAGGTGGTTTTTTTTTTTTTTTTTTTTTTTTTTTTTTTTTTTTTTTTGGTAATCGTTGGCTTAGGCCAACGGCTTTCTCCCTGCTGGTGCGTATGCACCAGCCCTTGCCAATACTTCGACCGGAGTTCGATCCCGCAACGGATCAACAAATTTTATTTGAACCATTTCTCGATTTATGCCTGTCACCCTCACGTGGGGTCATCTCAGCCCCGCGCAGCTGATTGCAGCCGCACGATCACGTGGATCGCACGACCAAACGGCCGTGCCGGGATGCCCCTTTGCAATGGCCAGCTCCAAAAGAGCTAGCCCAGTTGGGCAAAGTCGGATTCGTTCCCTGTGTTTGCAGCATGGCGGTCTACTGTGTTTACCTATTGGGCTAGCTCCTATCACAGGAGCAAAAGCAGCAGCCCTTCTATTTGAAGGGTTGCGCCTTGAAGGGTTGCGCCTAGTAGGCCGCCTGTCCATGGCTTGGCAAGGTCTGGCTGCCTTACCCCTTCTGCGTGTGTCCCAGCCGCCTGGCAGCAGGCTCTACCTGTCTGCCTGTCTGCCCCTTTCCTGTGGATGGCTGCCCATCCACAACTTGAAGGTCAGCGAATGGGTAGGCCACGATGTCGGTTTCTTGGCTTTTGGTGCGAAATCAAATCCCGAGGGCGCAATAATTTAGAAAAATAAACAAATAGACTCCTTGTTCGTCCTGCGCGGTGGTCTCGTACGCTGCGCATCCAGTTCCTTTGGCCTACTTAGACCCTGTATCGCGCGGCTGCTAAGCCGCACGTCATTATTGTAGGTAGAATAGGTTTAGTTTCAGCGTTCCCACGTCCGTGTACCTCTGCGGCCCTGCTTTAAACCGCCAACTACCGCCATCACTCTCAGACGACGCAGGCGTCCGAACTGAGGTTCAAAAAGTTTGTCTCTCGGTCATAGGTTAGTCTGAATGAACTTGGTCAGACAGTGTCCGACGTTTAAAATCCCCAACAAATACCCTTGTCAGGGTATTTGCCCCAACAGCTCATCCGCAACGACGTTGTACTACCCCTTCACTGGTTTGAGTTTGAAATCGAACTGGTCAATATCACCAGCCCACCTAGTAAACTTATGCGTCATTCGGACGTGGGTCGTTAACCAACGAAGTGCGTCATGGTCTGAATAAACTTTGGAATGTCCTTCTAGGAGGTAGTGCTGCCAATGATTTAGGGCTTCTCTAAGAGCGAACAACTCTCTTTCGTATGTTGAAGCTACGACCTTTACACTAGGCAGTCTACAAGACAAACTCTACAGGTCAATACTCGTTTCCGTCGTTACGTTGAAGCACAACACCAATCCCGTATTGACTTGCGTCAGCGGTAACAATAAAAGGCAAAGACGGGTCAACTATCTTGAGGATCGGGTACTCCATCAGACCTCTCTTTAGAAGCTTGAAGGCCGAGGTGCAGTCTCTGTCCCATTTCCAGATTCTCTTTCATCAACATCCTTTGCTGCTCTGAGGTGCACTCTCTATCCCATTTCCAGACTCTCTTTCCTCAATAACCTTTGCAATGGAGCAGCTATTACAGTGAAGTTCCGAACAAATTTTCTGTAATAGTTGGCCAGAGCAAGGAACGAACTTAGTCCCGTCAGCGAATGTGGTGTCGGTCAGTCTCTAAATGCTGCTATTTGAGCGTCCTCTGGCTTAATTCCATCTCCATCTAGCAGATGACCCAAATACAACACCTGACACTTGGCCCATTCATACTTTTTTGGGTTCAACTTAAACTTAGCGTCGCGTAGCTTGCTTAACACGAAACGAAGGTGCTGTTGATGATCTTCCAAAGTCCTTCTAAAAATAAGAATATCATCCAAATATACAACAATGAATTTGTCTAAACAGTGGCGGAAAAGTTCATTCATACAGCGTTGGAAGGTAGTAGGGGCATTGGTCAACCCAAGCAGCATGACCACAAACTCGTAGTGTCTAGATCGAGCCCTAAAGGCGGTCTTGTGTTGATCCTCGGCCAGTACCTCAATCTGATGATAGCCTGATTTCAAGTCAACCTTGGAAAATATTTACAACCCTGCACCCTATCCAAAAGGTCAGCGTTGACGTGTCTGCGGTAATGGCTCATCATTCTTCACTGTAATAGCATTTAAACCCCTACAATCTGTACACGTGTAGATCACCCTCTTTCTTTGGCACGAGTAGGGCCGGTGCACCCAATGGTGGCGAGCTGGGTTTAATCCACCATTTTTCTATGAGTTCGTCGAGCTGCTTGCGCAGCTCATCGAGTTCCTTGAGAGACATTCGATAGATGGGCCCCTTGGGAATCTTACTACCGTGTTCTATATCGATCCAGTGCTTGGTTTCCC